TCGCTTGTAGAACTCTTTTGCGTTTTTTTTTTTTTTTTGGCTTCCGAATCAACTTTGATCATAAATGCAATGCCAATCTTTATCTTCTGTCTCGATAATTCTTGTTCTTTTATTGTACTCTCTTCTTAATAGTAGTTTCTTTTTTCTCGTATTATCTAACACTCAGTAGCCAACATGATTCTCAGTGGCTTCATTGCCTTGCTTGGGGGGAAATTATTAAAAAAAAAATAAAAAGCATTTATAGAAATCCCACAGAGAAACTATGTTGGGAAAGGGATTGAAAACCGAGATGACAGATCATAGGGCATATGGTCTAATACGTGGCATGGCTGAAATGAATCAGAATGAAATTAAAAGATCTGTGAATGAAACTATTTTGACCTAGAAAAAGTTACTGAATGAAGAATAACGAAATCAGAGACTGGAAATGAAATGGTAATCTTTATAACATCAGCAAAATCAAATACTCGCCAGCGGCGTGAAGTAGGTAAACCACTGCTACGTAGACATCATATGACCCCCGCTTACAATAGTGTTCAACGTGTTTATGAGGATTGGGACTTACCCTCTAGTGTTTATAGGTACGGTATATAACACATTATAATAATTTCTAAATTGATTTTAATTCATATCAATTTTCTTCACCTCCATTTTTTAAATGTACTTTTGTTTGTTATTTTACACTTTCACTGACATAGTTCTAATAATGTTTTGAATTTATTTCATTTTATGCCAATTATCCTCGCCTCCATATTTTTATATGTTTTTCTCTGTCATTTTCCATATCTCTTACAGCGTTTTTATAATATCTAAATGCATTTTAATTAATATCAATTTTCCTCCATTTCCTTTTAATATATATCGATTTTCATTCCTCTATTGATCCTAGCAACAGTTTGACTGATTTCGAAATTACTTCATTTTATACCAATTATACGTGCCACCATTTTTTAAAATATAATTCTATTGTATTTTTTTTTCCTTTCTCATTCCAAAACCTCAGTTGGTTAATGCGAGGCCCAGGTTTGAATCGCAGCGTAAGCAATTCTGCTTACGGCTACAAACAATTCATGTTGCCAAGTGATTTCTTTTCAAAGTGGTCGAATTGACTTCTTCTCTCGGCAAATCTTTCGTTACAAATCTATAAATTATTTTTAATCTAACATGTTGTATGTCTATTTATTTCTTTTAGCCACCTGGTCAATTAGAAAAAGGGTTCAATTCGACTAGAGCAAAAACAGCATCATGTTTAGATATAGCAGAGTGTACTTTCATCAATTAGTTTAAAGTACTTTCATGAAAAAAAAAACATTTTGAGTTAATGCAGTTACTGATATAACATAAGTCGTCTGTATTTATTCAATTGAAGTTAGCCGAGGACGTGAAGAGGTAAAACAGGCAAAATTAAGAGCCATCTAAGACCACAATTATTTTGGAGTTTTTGAAATTCAATTTGTCAGTGTAGGTATGTAAAAGAAGATACAGTTATAAAGCAATTGGTAAGTTTGAGTAAAATTTGTTGAAAGATGAACGAAGAATAAGAAAGAAACGTGTAAAATTAAAAAAAATATAATTCCATTGTACTTTTTCCCTTTCTCATTCCAAAACCTCAGTTGGTTAATGCGAGGCCCAGGTTCGAATCGCAGCGTAATCAATTCTGCTTACGGCTACAAACAATTCATGTTGCCAAGCGAATTCTTTACGCGGCGGTCGAACTGACGTCTTCTCTCGGCAACTCTTTCGTTACAGATGTATAAATTATTTTTAATCTAACGTTTTGTATATCCATTTATTTCTTTTAATCTTTATAATCGAAACGTGTTAAAATAGTTTTTTTATTGATTTCTAAAGAGAAAATAAATATGGACACTAACCTTTAAATAAATGTGTTTTCTTACTTTGTTTTTTTAACCGTTTGCAAACTTTTCCTAATGTTTTAGGTTATTTTAAATAGTTTGTAACTTGACAGCTATCAAGAAGTTAACGCCAGTTTCAGTCGTTTACTCTGTTTTTTTGTTTTTGGAGGTTTTTTTTTCTATAGATTATATATTAAGGTTCAGCGTCATTTGCTGAATTCATCCACGAATTTTCTTATGAACCTCAACTTCAGACCTGCCCTACTCATATTTGACTCCCGATGACTTACCTATAAGGGGGTATCACCTGGAAAGCTGCAAAAGGTTTACAGAGGTGTGTTAAAATTTCCCAACCTCCTGGCTTGTCTACTGTGTGTTCATTCTACTCGGATAAATCAACCTCAGTTGGTTAATGCGACGCCTAGGTTCGAATCGCAGCGTAATCAATTCTGCTTACGGCTACAAACAATTCATGTTACCAAGCGAATTCTTTTCGTGGCGGTCGAACTGACGTCTTCACTCGGCAACTCTTTCGTTACAGATGTATAAATTATTTTTTATCTAACATGTATGTCTATTTATTTATCTTTTTATTTTTAACTAGCAGCCATAGCCAGCTGGTCAATCAGAAAAAAGCGTTCAATTAGAATGGAGCAAAAACAGCATGTAACAGAATCAACTTTCATCAATTAGTTTAAAAATACTTTCATTAAAAAAACATTTTGAGTTAATGCATTTACTGATATAACAGAAGTAGTCTGTATTTATTCAATCGGAGTTAGCCGAGGACATGAAGGGGTAAAACAGGCAAAATGAAGACCCATTTCAGACCACAATTATTTTGGACCTTTTGAAATTCAATTTGTCAGTGTGTTACTAGGGATGTAAAAGAGGATACAGTTATAAAGTAATTGTTAAGTTTGATGAACATTTTTGAAAGATCAACAGAAAATAAGAAAGAAACCTGTAAAATCGCCATTTTTTGCTATTTATGCGGGTTTTCACGATATGGGTGGACTCAGTCATCAAGTTAAATGACTGATAAATAATCAACTTATTGTTGGATACAACTGAGTGAAGTTCGTTTTAAAATGCTTAAATTTGAGGGAATTTTTAGTTTAAAGTTAGTGTTGAAATCGGTTTCTCTTGAAATGGATTTTCGATTTTTCGCGGTTTTTCGCTAAACACAGTGGCGTAGAAATAATAATGAGATATCGTTGAGCTCGCCATGATGTAAGTAACCTACATACTGAGTTTATAAGAAAGATATTGAATTTATCGATCTTGATCGGATTTATCGATTATTGATATTTAAAAAATATCGATGTTTGCGCTACAAAACCTATATCTTACATTATAATATGTGTGTGCCAAGTTTGGTCAAAGTCGGTTTGATGGATCTCGAGTGAAAAGGTATGACAAAGACAGACAGACATCCCCTGTTTTATATAGAGACATTGTCCTTTTATTCCTTTTCTCATTCCATAACTTACTCAATGTAGTAGCTTTTATACTTATTTCCACGACGCTATTTTTTTAGTATGTCGTTCGGAATACAATGTCTGATTAAAAAGATCAATTATTATGCCTAAATGAATGTATTTAAATTGTGTTTAAATAAGTTTAAATAGGAAACCTCAACATGTGTGTATTTCTGTCATAGAGTTACAAATTTATGTATGCCTTTACGATAAATCTCTAAAGGTTTGGATGCCAATAAATCTTTGAATTCGATATCTGCATCTTCTTTGAAATGGCATGTCGCTGGGCTTAAGAATTTGTCAAGAAGCTTGAAAAGGCGGTAGTCAGTACGAGAGAGACCAGGAAAATATGTTGGATGTGGCAAAGTCTTGTATCCCCCATTGGTGAGCATATGTCCTCCTGAAAACATGTGACCAAGTATTGTCCTGAATGAAATTCGTCGATTAACAATTTTGCTCAACTAAATGTATATATACATCAAGTTGCTGTAGGTTACACATCATCATTTATTCTCTGGTTAGTTTCCTGAAAATTGTACTGGATAAAGCAAATGGAGGAACACGATAATCTTCTGTTGGTGAAATTTTGGTATTGAAAATTGTTCGGGTCTTTCGACATGATCAGGCCATTGAGCTGGCCGTTTGCGATAGTGATAAGGGATAAATTTCTCGTTAAAATCATGATTCGGACAGGAAAGAAGAATACCTTTCAAAACATGGGACTCTTTAAATTTCAAAGAGTTTATGCGGAGTCAAATCTACCAGGTTTCTTCATCTTGCAAATTTTTTTGAGATGGTCCAATTTTCTTGAAATGCGGGCAGCCATTATCAGAGTCATTTCTCTGACACTATGATGTGAGTTTTGTTCGACTAGTGTTTCAACATGTTGATTGTCAATTGCAGATGGACGTCCTTTACCACCCTGGATCTTTATGATTCGTACTCCTACTGCAGAAACCAGCGCCTTACTCTCCGATCATAAGTTTTGTTAATGTCGATAGCAGTTTGAAAGGCATTATGATCATGCTTGAACTCATGCAAAAAAAGATAAACATATCGACCTTTTCCTAATGTTCAAGATGAGAGCTATATAATGTTTTCAGTGGAATTCTAAAAGACATTGATATGAAATTAACTAAGAGGACAGTTTAATAATTAGGCATGAGTAAAAATATGTTTGAACAGCTATTATAATAATATATTAGAACACCATTAAAACTTCCGTCTTGGGTATGACGATAAACAACGTCCGACAGCAAGGCCTCTGATCAGGAGGTTTTGAGGTTAGTGGAACCACCACTAAATTGCAGATGTTCCCAGGTCAATGCTTACCCGGGGTGTTAAAACTTGTTAGGGTCCAAGCTATGGACAAATAGTTAACACTCAAACTTGTGTAAAAATAGGTTTTAATACCAGAAATACTTTGTAATAAAAAAAATATTACTAGTAATAATTTTTAAAGGAAAAATTATCAGCAATACTTTAAAAAAATAAAAGCAATACAAACAGTTATATATTCTTTGGAAAAAATATGACCAGCTATAGATTTTTTCAATGAAAAATATTCCCCAAAATAGATTTTTGAAGAAAAACATATTACCAGCAATAAAAATGTTGTCGGCATTAAATAACCCATTGAGGTTGATATGCTGTAAAACAAAAC